ATCCAGGAATGTTCCAGTAAGAAAGCTTAATTTTCAGGTCACATCACATGATTATCTCTGGGAATTCCAGGTCCTGTGGATTGTTCTGCCCATTGTGACCAACAAATTAAGAATGGCTGACATGTCCTGTTCATCCAAATCCTTGCATAATGAGTTCTGCCTGAGAATACACACAGCATTTACCTGCCTATGGTCAAAAACCACTCCTTTATTGCACAGAAATTCTGGAAAGGAAAATTAAGCAGACTGAAACAGTGAGTATTTGTTCATGCTTGCTCTTGAGTTACCTTAAGTCTTTAACTTCGGTCTAGTGAGAAAGAGTATCTGTTGGCAAAACTATTGCCGAATAAAATTTCAGCTCTCGTTTTCTTCTAATTTTTAGAATTTTAATAATTACATAATTGCTCAAATACTAAAAGCAGTATTTCATTAGCTCTCTTGTAAAATGTTAACTAATCTTTGTACTAACTAACCTTTGTTTGGCTAAGGTAAAGGGAATACAGAGCAGTAGATGATAGTTACAGATACCAACTGCAGATATAAGGACTGCATCGTTAGGGTTATTATTGCCCTTATTTTTCTATGTATATTTTCTCCCCACCCTCTCTCTTCAGTACTGAAGACTGAACCCAGGACTTTGCACATGCTGAACAAGGACTCTACCACTGAACTTCATCCTCAGTGCTTTTTATTTTATTCATTTATTTAGAGACAGGATCTCACTAAGTTGCTTAGGCTGGCCTTGAACTTTCAATCTTTCCACTAGAGACTTCTGAGTAGCTGGGATTATAGCCATGCATCCACATTGTTAGCTAATTTTACATGTCAATTTGGTTACAGAGTGCTCAGATTAAACCTTACAACTTATTTCTGTGTGTATGTACAAGGGTGTTTGAATCTGTGAACAGAGTAGATTTCCCTTCCTTGTGTGGGAAGGTTTAATCTACTCCTTTAAAAGTTTGAACAGAAGAAAAGGTTGAAGAAAGAGGTTTTCAACTCTTCCTGACATGCTGCTTTGCTGGAATCTTGCATTTCTGCCCTGTGCTGCTGGGTTTTAGGCCTTCACATGTAAATTGGAATCTGCACCATTGGGCTTCCCTGGTTCTGAGAACTTTAAACTCACAGTTATTTAGATGATTAAATTTTCTGGGTCTCCAATTTCCAGACTGCTGATTATGAAATTTTTGTCATATAATAATAAATAAAAAATTATATGAGCCAATTATATAGGCTGGGCATGGTAACACAGGCCTGTAATTCCAGCACTCTCAGGGACTAAGGCAGGAGGATAACTAGTTTGAGTCTAGCCTCAGGCACTTTTTGACTTAACAAGACCTTGTCTCAAAATAAAACATAAAAAAAGACAGAGGTGCCACCTGCCCCATAAGCGCAAGGACCAGAATTCAATCCCCAGTACCAAAAAAAAAGGGGCAATATGAAGACACTGAGTTCAATTGCCAGTACCACTTCCCCCAGAGGGAAGAGAGAGGAGAGAGAGAGAGAGAGAGAGAGAGAGAGAGAGAGAGAGAGAGAGAGAGGGGGGGGAGGGAGAGGGGGAGGGGGGAGAGAGAGAGAGAGAGAGAGAGAGAGAGAGAGAGAGAGAGAGAGGAGGGAGAGGGACAGGGAGAGGGGGGAGAGAGAGAGTTGTAATGCTATGATTATTTCCTCATTCTTCCATGTGTGTTGTATGTGTATTTTCTTTGCTCTCTTAATCTCTTGTTACGTAACATAAGATGACATATATTATATCTGATGATACTGCTTTTCTAGAGAACCCTATCTAACAGAATGCACCTATTCAAGACAGCATACCTCAGTGGAGAAATGATTGGGCTATGATCTAGACAAACTAATTTACCTAAATTAACATGATAAATAAATTGATTCCATAGCTCTTATTAAAAAATAAATTCCAGAAAGACTTCAGGGAAAGAGGAAGCTGCACCAAAAGGAAAAAAAATATATAAGTAAAGCCATATTTTGTACCATTGGAATCATTAGTACCATTATATTGTACTTTTGGAATCATTAGAACTCCAGGAAAAATGCAGAATTTTAAATCACAACTGATTATTATACTTCTTCCTGTCTTTTATGTGACAATTTTGGAGGAAATTTAGACGTTAGTTATCATATATATCTTAACACATCTTTGTTAAAATCTTTCTACCAGAAATCCTAAGTCCTCATTGCTGTTCTGGGCTCTTTGATAATTATAAACCTCTTCCACCAGGAAGAGGAAAAAACTGCATGTGATACCCATTTCTGACTTTGCGATTTATATTACAGTTATTAAACTGTATTTATAGTATCTATAGGAAACCATTGATTTTGTCTGAGCTCCTCCATAAGGCCCTAACAGAACAATCTGAAATCAACTCATTCACCATAAAGTTTCATGTCACTAAACTGAACCTCCTTTATCTGATTTTCCAAGAAACTGGGACAGGTTTGATAGTGAAATCTCCAACAAGGCCAGTTTTACCCAGCATAATAAGGAAGTCCTTTCTGCTTTAAACTTTAAGTAATCTGAAGTTACCTGATGTTAACTAATTCATTTTTATAATGTTGTTTTCTTGTTCCCACTTTAGCTTCTTTATAAAAAAACAACTCTTAGATCATGTCCAGTGTAGCATCTCTCTAGTTTTAGATGAGAAAGTGTCCTATTCATAAATATCTAATAAAAGTGAATTAGATCTTTCAATTAAATTTCTTAAAATTCTGTCTTTTGACAAATCTTAATCTCATTTTGTTCCACTTCCTGGGGTTCTGAATTTTCTATTTCATTGCTTTCAAAAAATATTAATGTACAACCTAGAGCCCAAAGAAGAGTATATTTAACTTTGTAAGATCCTAAAACTGTTCTGGGTATACAGTAGGCATCAACTAGATTTGTGTTATTTATCTGAATGTACTTGTTAATTGCTATAGAAAAAATCTCTGACCACTCTCACTCAGCCGAAACACAAACTGATTTACATTTTCTCAAGCCCCGAGACAGCAATATGTGTTCTGAATTGTTTTTGAAAAACCCTAGTGCTATGACAATAATTGCTAGAAATCTAGATCTTGAATTTCCTACCAATAAGAAAGAGACAGTATGTTGCGGAAGAAGGAGAATTGAAAGCTGCCTAGGGGAGAGATGACATTTGTGGGGGTGAGTCACAAATCAAGTAATTTCTATGTTATACAGGTTATGTTTTAGGTAAATTGAATATATTTAAAATAGTTTAGTCAACATCCAAAGAGGAAAAATACAACATCTGTTAAAAGTGGTTCTGATAACAGGCAGATCAAGAGTGCTTGGGTTTCCTAGACACAGCCAGGGAAAGGCAAACATTTTCATTTACCAGCTCACAAGCCTATAAAATTTGAGTCAGAAGTGTTCTGACTGAGGCAGAAGTAGAAGAGAGTCTTTCTATAGAAAAAGTCCTAAAGAATTAAGGGCTGCATATTATTGTGAGACATGCATGTCCATGTTTATGGCAGCATAATTCACAGTAGCTAAGCTCTGGAAGCAGCCTAGATACCTGTCAACAAATGAATGGAAAGACACTGTGACATATATAGACAATGAAATATTGCTCAGCCATAAAAATGAAATAAGGTCATTTGTGGGAATATGGTTTAAACTAGAAACCATCATCTTAAAGATTAGTCAGGCTCCAAAAGTTAAATATCACATGATTTCTCTTAGATGAGAAACCTAAAAATAGAACAAATAACAAGTAAAGAATTAAAATTTTAAAAAAGGTGACAGGAAACCAGGAGGTAGAATTCTGGAGGTGAGGAAGGAGACCAACAAGATAAGAGAGGAAAGTGAGAGGAGTTAATGGAATTGAAATTACATAAAATCTATTAAATGCTTGTGCCAACTTCCCAAAACAAACCCCATCATCGTGTAAGGTTAACATGCTTAATAAAATATTTTAAAAATTAAACTTCTGTATGTTAGGTTGAAAAAAATAACAACAAAAAACCCCCCACCCTGCTTCGAATCAATTTGGTAAGCTAGATATGGTGGCATAGGCCTGTAATCCCACCACTCAGGAGGCTGAGGCAGGAGGATTGCCATGAGTTCAAGGCCAGCCTGGGCTACCTAGTAGTTCATGGCCAGCCTGAACTGCATAGTGAGACTCTGTCTCAAAAAAAAGAAAGAAAGAAAGAAAGAAAGAAAGAGAGAAAGAAAGGAAAAGAAAGGAAGAAAGAAAGAGAAAGAAAGAAAGGAAAAGAAAGGAAGGAAGAAAGAAAGAAAGAGAAAGGAAGAAAGAAAGAAAGAAAGGGAAAGAGAGAGAAAGAGAATCAATTTAGGATAATATCTAGTAGTATTTTACAGTAAACCTTGAATTAAAATTTAGATAATTTCTAGGATAAAGATTGTACTAGCCAAGTATTCTACAAAAGTAGCAAAACAGAAACAAAAAAAGAAACAAAAACTGATGTTCAAGGTCAGTTATTTTCATTTAATTAATGTATCAATCCTAAAAGCTTTTCTAGGCAACCCACTGCTCCCTCACAAATTTGAATTATTTCTTTTTTTAACTGATAAGTAAGTAAACTAAACCTATAAAAATAAGATGGTTACTTAATGCCACACAGCTTACTAATTAAATGAATTAAAATAATTAAACTGAAGTTCTCTACACTCACGTTCATTGAAAACAAAAAGAAGACATTCTCTCAAATTGCCAATTTTCAGTCAAATTTGTTAAAGACTGTCTTTAAGGTGGGTCTTTTATATAAGACTAAAAAGGCTTGAATTTCAATTTATTATATAATGCTATATATACTGCTTACTTGGACACATAAAACTTTTTTCTAGGTACTTTTAGAAAACAAATTTTGGAAAATGAAAAGAATAATTACTAGTGCTGATTAACAAAGTGCTTTATCTTTTAAATTTAGCACTATTCAATAAAGCCCTATAGAATGTGTGTGCACAGATACATTTATACATATATGACACATGTTAATATATAACTAGAGAAATATTCACTTACTGTAGTATAAAGGCTGAGTTCTGTTTTTCAAGGAATACTGATGAATGCACAGAACATACACATCATCATTCTGGACAACAGAAAAAAATTGAAGAGACAGTTAAAACAATTACATGTGTTCCAATATACTATAATAATTAAATATATTATAAACATGTGCATATATAACAATATGTGTATGGCATATTTACAAATACATTAAGTATTATGAGAAAAAATAATGGTGCCATTAGAAATGGTTTTGGAGGCAATGCTTTGAAGAGTTGTGGTGGCAACACTGCCAGAAAAGTTGAAAAATAAGTCAAAACACCTAGGCCGTGCACTTACAGATGTGTGGGGTGGGCTGTTATGGACAAAGAGAACCCCACAGTCAGAAGTCATAGGGCTGGAAACATCTTGGCTAATTCAAGGCCATGAAAGAAATTACACAGTGGAACAGGGAAGTATCCTTAGAGATGAGGATGAGAGGTGCACAGGGCCAGTTCACATGATTTTATTGTCTCTTTAACTGGAAGCTAAGCCTTATAGATCCTGATCTACAACCCACCTTTTTTTTTTTAATATGCCATTTCTTATTTTACTGCAAAAACTCAGTCATTTCATTTTTAAATTGTTGGAATGTCAGAGTGATACAAAGAAAAAATTCTGTTGTTAGGAAAGTTCAGAAAGTGCAAAGCCCCTGAATTTCTCAGTAGTTCTCACTGAGCAAGAGTCACACATACTAACCATGTACCTGCACTTGTTAAAACAGAAGAAATGATGTCTGCTTGTCCTGGAATTGAGACTAGGCCATGCTCAAACTACCAGGAATAACAGTGTCTAGGTAAAACAGGGAACCTGCCAATGAGCTGAGAGGAACAATGTTGTCAAATATTTGAAATTGAAAAAGCCAGCATTCACTAAGTACTTTCTGTAGAACTAGGTATTGCTCTAATTCCTAACATGAGTTATACATAATTCTCCACCCTAACTCTTGTAACTCTTGTAATAGTCACACAATTTCAAAGATGAGTCAACTGAAGGAAATGATATAAAGAAATGGACTAAGATTCCATTGTTATGAAGTAGTGGAGGGAGGATTCAAACTCAGGCAGCTGAATCTGGACCTATGCCATCTACCCCATCTCTTTTTGTCATTCCTCTGGTATTCTAGATTGCCAAACATGGACTGATTTCCAGCCATAATCCCAACTACAATGATACCTTTCAATGACTGCTAGCAGGCTTTCCTCGTCCTTCCTCCTAATACTCCGCTCTCCTGGCAAATAGATACTGGAGAGCCCAGCTTCTGCCTATGATTCAGGGCTGCCCTCTGAGCTGTGAAGCAGTGTAGTTAAGTGGAAGCAGAGCCCTGTGGGGTCTTTTGGGGCAGGACTCATCTTATCACTAGAAGGGCTCTGGAGTGAGCCAGGTATTCTGCTGGAGGAGCTAGGTGCCTTGCTGAGTCCCTGCTCCACTTCCAGGGCTGAAGTGGAAAGTGTTGTATGGAGGGCCAGGGACATGTAAGGTAAAGAATTTACCAAGACAGGAGCAAGAAAGGAGATTTTTTTGAATACAGTGCATTGCTATGGAGCAGAGCTGGAGAGTTCTCAGAGAGAGGACCACCCTCTCTGGGAAAGGCATAGAGACTTTCTAAGGGTTTCTTGAAGTTTAAAATATTGTAGATAGGTATGGAAGTATGGGAAGAGACTGTTACGTAGGATTTAGATAGGGCATTGTATTCCTTGTCTCCTTCAGGCTAATGATGTATGTTATCCTCCTGATAAAATATGAAGCCAGGGCTGTGGGGTAGTGTAATGGTCACATTTTTTTTTAGCAAAACATTTATTGGTACATTTTAGATATACATAATAACATTCATCATAGGGAATTTGTACCTGTATATGATATATCTTGCTTCTTTTCCCCCCTTAACCCCTCTTTCCCTCCTTACATACAAAAGCTGTTTCCATTTTTTCCATCCATTTCTTTGTTTTTCTTCTCCCTCCTTTCCTCCCCCCCCCCGCCTTGTTCTCCTTCTCATTTGAACATTTTCTTCCCATTTCCCAAAGTCTATCATACATTTTATTCCTTATTTCCACACCAGAGAAAGAATGCTGCATAAGAAATGTTCATGGCTGTTTTACAGTAGAATTCTGAAACAGCTTATTTTGAAGCTGAATGTCTGACTCTGGGGTAAAACCTACTGAAGTAGCTGAATGGAGGCTGCCTCTCATTGATTGTTTAGCACCCCAAGGGAGTCACTTCAAGACCCCAGCCCCAGGTCCACACTCTGAAGCAAACACCATGAGTTGGCTAGAACCTCTTGTGTTCAAACCTTGCAGGGCCTGTACAAACTGAGTTGTTGCCAGCCCACTTGGAGCTGTGATAGGCAGGTTCACCCCACTGGGGCTGTGTTCTGGGCCCCAGTCCCTTGCAGGGGATGTCTTCCCCTCAGCCACATGGCTGCCATGCACTGGTGTCCCACAGCCTCCCAGAAGACAGCAAAGACCCAATGGAGTGGCCTCACTGACCCAGCGGCTCCCGTCTCCTCGGCTGGATGCTTGTATTCCATCTGAGCTTAACTCCCCTGTCCCATGCTAGTTTCCTTAGTCACTCAACACTGCTGAAGGGAGGCCAAGCCCCAGGCCAGACTATTGCCAGATGCTGTGGCTTCATCTCAACTCCTTCCTTCTCTTGTTTCTTGGAGAGGCTCCTGAAACTTCTGCCCTGTGCTGAAAAACAGTGATGAACTGGGACACCACTGGGAAAGTCATTAATTGGAGAAGGTGCTGCTCCTTGGTGGAGTTGTCTTCAAGATGCTCCTTTTACTCTGCCCTTAACCTCCATCCCTAAAGGCCTGTGACTTCTTATCCAGAGAAGCAGAGGATGGCTGCTCCATGTCCTGTCCAGTCTTTTTTGGTTATATTGAATGGGAGAAACAGGATAGGGTGTGCCTGTTCTACTTACCTGGTTGTGGGTGCTTCTGTTCACTCTTTTCAATTCTGCTATTCCTTTTAAATTATATTGCATATCACTTATGTTCATATACTTATGAACACTGTGGTCTGTACATCAAACGATGTGCTTAGTGAGGAGTAATTTTAACTCATAGACATCTTAAATATGTGACATTGGTCATTGTACTTTATGATCCTTACTTTGGATGAAAATCACACATAAAGAAGGAGATCCAGTGAACCTACTGGATAATTTTTAAAATATTTCAGTTATTCCTTAATAATTCTCAGATTAAGCAATATTTTAAGCAGTTTCTCAGTGTAAAAATTCATTAAAATGAATGTGTGGAGATATCTTCTCTATAATTCTCAAACTGAAAAATAGCTATCTTAGTACCAAACAAACTGAATTTACAAAGTGATTTTCAATATTTCAAAATGAATTATTTTGTATTGTGCTTGGAATCTTCATAATATACCACTTCATATTTTTCTACTAATGTTTCATTCTTGTAAGTCTGCAGACCTAGTAGGGTCTTAAATTCACCATACTGAATATGGGAGTCCTTACAAATATTAAGAGATTAAAATGAGGTAATGGAAGAAGTCTGCATATTTTTATTAAAACAGCAACAAAAAGTCAATTGAGCACTTTTGTAGGCAAGGTCTTGATTTGAGTACTGTAAAGAGTGTGTACCTTGGGGAGAAAGGGAGGGAAGGAGAGAAGGAAGAAGGGGAGGGAGGGAGAGAGAGAGAATATATATTTCTTACATTGAATTATATCCTACTTTTATAGATGATGGACATTTTGCAGAGTTAAGAAATGTGGCCACAACTGGTAGAATTACAGAATTATAGCAATGGTTTACATCTAAGTCTAATATTCTTAAACCTTATATGATATGTTGCTTTTTGACTCATGATGCTGTGTATTCATTTACAAGATTTATTTTTAAACTGTAGTGTATGCAATAGCTTTTTACATATTTTTAATATTTTTTCAATACTTATGATGATTTTAAATAAAGCATTTGCTATTAACACTTCAGGTTGTTTGTTGATGTCTATATACATTTTATATTTATAATAAGTAATAGCTGTTGATTGTTTATTGCATATCTTATTGTACTGTACCTGTAGTGCTTTCTAAATTGAAATAGTTGTCTGAACTTGTCTAAATTTTGTCTCGCAAATAATCAGGTTTACTCACTTGTTCTTTGTTTATTTCATTAAATCTTTGAAAACTCTACTGATTAGCACTAACATTAGGGGGTACATTGTTTTTTATTCTTAATTGTAAGAAGTATGCATGTCTCCAATGTTTTATAATTATGTATAATGTTTTCCTGTAGTTTTTATCATATTCTAAAGTCATTTTCTAAGAAATATTACCTAGTAGGCACTAAAGAACTAACAGTTTTCTGAAAGTATAACTTATTTTTTGAATATCATACATTAACATTGGAAATTTTCCATTATTTTCATATATAGAAACCCCAGTATTTTTCAGAATAAATATTATCTTCAGCAGGCACCTATGCGTACTAAGGAAAATGGGTGCTGAAAATGAAACTTTCATTTTTTTCTCATAAAATTCTTCACACTTAGTATTAAGATAAACTATTTCCCTCTTCTAATAAGTACATTCTTTCTCCACTTAAATAACTATATTAATTAAAAGGTTTTTAAACTAAAACATGGAATAGTCATTTACTTCTAATACTATTTTAGAAAAAATCTTCAATGTTTTTCTTCACAAAAATAATTATAACTATTATCAGAAAACATTGCATGGCAAATAAGAAGGAGCACAGAAATATAGGACTGTAGTTTTATCCACAAATTAATTTTTTTCTTCTGCTTTATATGTATTGTGTTTGAAATAAGAAAAAAGGTGTTATACACACGATATTCCTTATCTTTGGTGTCATATGAAGGTATAAAAGTTAAGCTCAATTGTCAACTTGTCTGGCTTGAGAGCAGCCTACAGGATTAAAGCAGCACACTTCTGGATTTGTTGAGGTGTATCATGAAGCACTCCCTTAGGTACTATATCTGGTCCCTGCCCCTTCCTCTTTGGAACTCACCTTTTCTCCTTTCAATTCCCTGTGATGTGAGCAGTTTTGTTCTCCCACGCACATCTGCCATTTTTTGCCTTGGAGCTAGCCAAGTAAGTAATGATACCTCTAAAACCACGAGCCAAATTAAACCTTTACTCTTGAAAATTGCAAGTGTTGAGTATTTGGTCTAGCAACTGGAATACTGACCAGTACAGAAAATCAGTACCAGAGGAGTGGGGTCATTGTTGTGATTCTACATGGCCAGTGGTTCAGAAGTCTTTGGAAATGATCTGGGAAAGCATTTGTGAAGGTTTGGAGATTTGGAATAGAGAAGCCTAAGATGTTGTAAGCAGAGATTAATGGAAAATTCTAGTCAGACCTCATAGGACCAGAATGCTTAAAGAAGTGTGGATATAGAGGTCAGGCTCATGAGGTTTTAGATTGGATTGGAGACTCTGTGAGGAATTGGACTCTGGCAAAAAACAAAAACAAAAACAAAAACAAAAAAAACCGCAACTCTACATTTTTCCCAAGTTTAAGAATTCACATGAGGTTGAATTTAAAAGTAGCTTATTAATTGATCTGGTGGAGGAAATTTTAAGGCAGTCCAACATTCAGGCTGAAGCATAGGTACTGGTGGCTGCTGTTAGCCAGAGACAGTAAGAATCAGGAGGAAAAAGCAGAGCACAATGATTTTAAAAACTCAAATTTTGGCCTGCAAAGAACCACATGTAAATTTGGAGCCAAAGGAGTTATGGTTAAGGGAATAACACCATAAACCATAATAACACCAAGTACTTTGAATTGGAACAAAAGAAAGATACTTTGAAGACATTCTAAGAATCAGCAAGAGCCCACCTATAAAGCTAAAGGGTATGAGTATAAATCAGTCACTTGAGAGGGGAGCCCCTGGGTACCCTGCTCAGAAGGTTCGCCTAGGGGATTGGTTCCTGCATTTCATTTCACCATGCTCAGCCATCCAGTTATTCATACACTGCTACTATAGCTGTGCTCCAAGAAGAAATGGCGACTGCATGAGCAGTCAGTAGGCCATGACATCATGCACATGATGCTGTTTTTTCAGGCATGCAGAATTCACATGTTGTGGGAGTATACAGGCTTCTGCCCAGATTTCCAAGGAAGGCCTCAAAGGCCAGGCAGTGTATCCCTGAAAGATGGGTAAATGAAGCTGTAGGGATGAGCCCAAATGTGAAGTAGGAACCCCAGGAAGTTGGAGACACAAGGAATATGGAACATGTGCCAAGGAAAGCTTCAGGCAGTGAGGGGAGTGAAGCTAGCTCAAGAGAGAGGCTGTGTGGGCTGCAACACTTAAGGTCAATGGATAGGGCCACTCAAGCCCTCTGAAATTCATATCTTACCATCATGTGCTCAGATGCTGAATATAGAATTATGGGACTAATGTTGGCCCTGATGAGTTTTGGTTTTGCTTTGGTTCTATTGAATTTTTTCTATCCCATCATCCCTCCTTTTGTTAGAATGGGAATGTTTACTCTGTGTCATGCTACTTTGGGATTATATAACTTGCTTTTTGCTTGTTAGTCTTAGGGAGATTTTGAACTTGTATTTTGGAGCAATGCTGCAACTGTGTCATAGGAAGGGAAGGAAGACTTCCCTTGTGTTTCTGCTTGTATATATCATCCATATTATTAAAGCATTTTCTTAGCCTAGTCCTGAAGGCTTCAAGTACTATACTCTGTGAACACTTGTTCACATATTAAGTTGTTTCAGTCTCTTAATTGTAATGTAAGCAAAATTTTAAAGTCTCCATATAGCTTAAGTCATTTAAATTCCAGTAAAACTACAATTACAATCAAAACAAACACACCCTGTGTTGATAGCCATCTCTAATTGTCTCTGGGTGTAATTAAAACTCAGTTCCGGGACCGGGAATGTAGCTCAGTAGCCCCACACCTGCCTGGCAAGTGCAAGGTCCTAAGTTCAATACCCAGTACTGCATAAAAACCCCAAAACAAAGCAAAAGGATAACAGGGCCGGGGATTTAACTCACTGGTACTGACACCTGGTTCACAAGTGCAAGGGTGCCGAGTTTGAGCCCTGGTACCAAACAACAACAACAACAACAACAACAACCACAACAAAACTCAGTGCAGGTATTTTTACAATCTTAGCTACATCCGCATTCTCAGAGCTGTGTCTTCCCTTTTTACATTTTACATGCACTGTTTTAAAACGTTCACATTTAACTTTAAACATAATTATTGTTGAGGCATCACACTTTCAGTTGAATTTAATAATAAAAAATATGAAAGGAGAAAAAAAATCAAGTTTCTTTTTTACATTTTTCTCACATTGATGCTTTTATTTTCTTCCTAACAAATCTGCTACATCATTTCATGTTTGTCAAAATTTCTTAATTTCTTCCTTCCCACTCTTCTCGTCCTCACTTTCACACATATCCTGCATTATGGAGAGATCCTAGAAGAGTTTGAATGCTGTTTTGTATTGCAGGGCTAACCAGTCAGACTCTGTCCAGTGCTAAATCTGTTGAATACCTAATACCCTATAATACATTTATCTTATGATTCAGTTATAAAGAGTAGGCTTTTTCTTTTTCAATCAAGAACTATGTTACAGGAATAAAAGTATAGAAGATATTTAATTCAATTTAAACAAAAGCTACAAGCATTATGTTAAGCTAGTCATTTGTTTATAAAAGTTATTGTTTGCCAAGTGTAGGATGGTGTTTTAGTTACTTTTCTCATTGTTGAGACAAAATACATGACCCCTAAAGTTAAAAGAAGAAAGATTTATTGTGGCTTACAGTTTGTAGAGGTTTCAGTTCATAATTGGCTGGTTCCAAGGCAGGGTGACATGACAGAGGGGCATCGCAGAGGAGAAACAGTTCATGGCAGGCAGAAGATAACAAGGAAGCAAGCCAGCAAGCAGTGAAGTAATGAATCAACAGCAGCTTGCTTCTCTCTTTTATCCTTTTGTTGGGAGCAATGCTACATAATTCTAGGGAAAAATCATTTGGTTGCCTAGTTCTCTTGCCTACAGCCCAGCTACAGAATAACTCCAGTTTGGCCTCCGGTCACCACTGAGACCAGTGATCCAGTGATGCTGTGATTCTCCAGGACAAGAAACATCCT